TCTGTGAGTTCAAGGCCAGCCTGGGCTACCAAGTGAGTTCCAGGAAAGGCGCAAAGCTACACAGAGAAACCCTGTCTCGAAAAACTAAAAAAAAAAAAGTAAAAATGTTTGAAATGGGGCAGAAGTCATCAGGGATTTTTCTTTCTTTCTTTCTTTTGTGTGTGTGTGGGGGGGGAGTCCAAAAAAAGTCAGAAAACCTACTGGACAAATTCTAAAAGAGCTATAACACTTCTGTAGTATTTCTGTGCAAATTTACACTCCTGAAGTAAAATTCCTGGTAAAAAGACAAGGTCAGTTGCTTCTTACGGTCGAGTCCTGTCTTAGTCTCTTTTCATGTTGCTGTGATGAAATTCCTGACAAAAGCAACTCAAGAGAGCGGTTATTTCAGCTCACAGTTAAAGGGACGGCCTGTCACGGCAGCCAATCACGACAGCCAATCAGAGCATCTGGATCCAGCCACCCACAATCAAGAAACAGAGAGAATGAGCCGAGTCTTGTGGCGCACACCTTTGATTCTTTAATTCCAGCATCCAGGAGGCAGAGGCAGGTGGATGTCTGTGAGTTCTAGGCCAGCCTGGTCTACAGAGTAGTTCCAGGACAGCCAGGTCTACACAGAGAAACCCTGTCTCAAAAAAACAAAGAGAAAGAGAGAGACAGAGAAAATATATGCTACTCAGCTAGCTTCAGTCAAGGATCCTAACCAGGAATGGTGCCACCCATAGTGGGTGGATCTACCCTCCTCAATTAAGGAAATCAAGATAATCCCTTACACGCAGACCTAAAGGCCCATCTCCCGGGTGGTTCTAAATTTTATCAAGTTGACAGCTGGCATTAACCATCACAGGTCTGTAAGCTGTCTTCTAAAAACTATAAAATCTCAAATTGTTAGTATGGATCATAAGGACCCTCTTGACCTGACCCTTGGTTACCTCCTCCCATCTCCTCTCCCTTTTCATTTCCTCCACCTGCATAGTTCTTCTCTTCACCCCTCCAACATGCCCTGCGCTCCTCCCTCAGAACTTCTGCACTCACTGCACCCTGTGAACTACTGCTTCTCTTCTGTGTGCTTCTGATCAATGTCTACAACTTCCCCAACTGCTTCAGGTTACATATTTATCTGACTTTTTTTTTTTTTTGTCTAGTTCTCAGCTCCGTGAGAAAAAAAGGTCTACGTACCTATTTCAACCACAGCTATATGTCCAGCACACAGGAGGCACTCGGTACATACTTAGAAAAGGCTAAATTAATAGAGGGCAAACCTATAAGATTCTCTAATAAAAATTAACAGAAACAGGAATATTTCATTAAGAAACTGAACGATGTAGATCAAAGTGCAAAGCTCACCAGCAACAGGGCTTACTACTCAGGGTTGGAACGGTATCTCTGGTTCCCTGGTCTTCACAACATTCAGACTGCAAGGGCTATTGCATTCACTGGCTAAGTAGAACTTTGGACTCACCTTGATGCAGGACTTTGCCTCTGGCACCCACATTCCTCCACAGCAGAGGTTTTCAGCCTTCCTAGTGCTGCGACCCTTGAATACAGTTCCTCAGGTGGTGACTCCCAACCATAAAATTATTTTCACTGCTACTTCATAACTGTAATTTCGCTACTGTTATGAATAGTAATGTAAATAACTGATATAACTATGAAAGGGTCGTTCGACCCCCGTGGGGTCACAGCCCACAGGTTGAGAACCGCTGCCACACAGGCTGTACTTGTGCAGCTTGACCTGCTGGAGCCCCTTCCCTTATACTACCCTGCAAAAAGCGCGCCCCTCCCCTGTCGGCGCCCGTCCCTTCCACTCCTCTTCCCTGTAGGAACCCACCTGCTGACTGCTTTGGTGAACACCGGATAGAGCTTTAGGAGTAGCAAGTATTGGGCGAGCGCTCGCCGCGGAAGCGACCCGAGCTGGGATTCCGCCCGCAGTCTTGACACGGCAGGTGCCATCGCCGTCCCAGCTCTGAGTTGCCCCGGGCGCCCACCCAACAGCTGGCCAGTTAGGCACCCGGCCCGGGACACCGGGCACAGGGCGGGGACGGCCTGACATTTCCTGCCCTACCAAGGCCCTCAGCGCGCCGGGCTGACCCCGACGCGCGCGCGGCTCACGGCCGCGTATTTTCCCCCGGTCCCTGCGACCCACCCTCCGCACTCTGGGGCGGATTGGCGAGCCGAGGGGCGGGGCGGGGCGGGGCGGGGCGGGGCGCCCCGTGCCACGTCTGCCCGACGCCCGAGCGCCACGCCTTCTCATTGGCCGGAACTTTGATCTCGCGAGAGTAGGTGGGAGCGCGCCAAATTCTCCCCGGACCGTCAGGAAACTTGTGAGCTGCGCGATGGTCCTCAGGAACTCTGGACGTAGGCACGCCGAACCGGGCGCGGACGGCGAAGGCAGCCGGTGAGAGCCGGCGTCCTGCTGCGAAGGCACTGGCAGTAGCTGCGGCCGGAGCCAGCTTGGGCGGGTGCCGTGTCGGGTGGAGCGGCGGGCCGGGCGCGCGGCGGGGAGGACCCGGCGGGCTCCCGCCTTCACCTTGTGTAGTTTTATTGAGACGCTAACTCGCTCCGTAGCTCAGGCTACGCATTCTCTAGACGTATTTGTGCCTGTTGTGTGGCTTTACTAGGAGAGAACGATTATTCTCATCAGACAAAGAGGGAACAGGCGAACCATAGAAAGATTCTGTCTAGTCCAGCTTGGCGAAGTAAATCAGTTTATTGGGATTGCTCATAGAGTCATGTTTCTCATGGGCATCTGCACCACCAAAAGTCCCAACTCTCATGCATCATATTAGAGTATGATGACAAAAGAAACAGATGTGCATATCTTATGCTGTGATTGGTAACACTGCCTTGTGGCAGAAACAGTTGGCTGTGCTGTGTGACAGTGTATCAGAATGGGAGCCCTAGTTGAGCGGAAACCCTTCAAGAGCTGAGTAGTGATAATGTTTTCCTAGCATATGTGAAGCCCTGGGTTTGATGTACAGCACCTCCATCGCAGCTGTGGTAATTGACTTGGACCAGCAGGTAGTTGTGCAGTGACAGGTTCCTGAGAGAGAGATGACCAGGGGATGAGAAGATAACAAAGTTCAGGATCAAGAGGTCTCACACAAGCTGATGGCTCATGCAAGCAAATTTATTAAGTACTGGTATCACCTAGTCGGTGGTAGCGCACGCCTTTATCCAGCACTAGAGGCAGGTGGATCTGTGAGTTCCAGGACAGCCAAAGCTACACAGAGAAACTGTCTCAAAAAATCACACACCCCCCAAAAAAGTACAGCATCTTATATATAGGTTTCAGGGGGGAAACGGGACAGAGTGTCAGACTGAGCACACAGCAGCCTTGGGACTGATAACCATAGCAACCTTTAGGTAGAAGAGTTGGTTTCTCCAGGATCTAGAGCCACAGCTCCCTCAAGGCTCTGGCCCCAGGCTATTACTTGCTCTGCCAAGGTCATTCCTGGTTTAGAAAAGTAGCTATGTTCCTTTTCCATACATCAGGGCCTCAGGGAAAGCCTCAATCTAACTCTCAACAGTAATGATAGTTACTGTGCTGGCTGCTTCATGTCCATAATGCCATAATGAAAAGGCACATGAGGTGGGCAGTAACCTTATACTGTTACATTCATGCTGTACGTCAGTTAGGAATGAGAGATGTGAAATAATTTACCTACCTACTTTCACAGCTACATGTGCTTTTTTATTTTTTTTATTTTTTATTTTTTTTTTTTTTTGGTTTTTCGAGACAGGGTTTCTCTGTGTAGCTTTGCGCCTTTCCTGGAACTCACTTGGTAGCCCAGGCTGGCCTCGAACTCACAAAGATCCGCCTGCCTCTGCCTCCCGAGTGCTGGGATTAAAGGCGTGCGCCACCACCGCCCGGCAAGACTTTTTTTTTTTTTTTTTTTTATGTGCTTTTTTATTTTATTTTGCTTTGTGTGTGTGTGTGTGTGTTTGAGATGAGGGTTTCTCTGTATAGTCCTGGTTGTCCTGGAACTAGCTCTGTAGACCAGCCTGCCCTTGAACTCGGAGATCCTCCCACCTCTGCCTCCTGAGTGCTGAGATTAAAGGCATTCACCACCACCACCAGTGGTGTTTTGTTTTGTTTTTTAAACTAGAAGTGGAATCTCACACATGGAAAGACATACTATACCACTAAGCTATATCACCAGCCCAGGACATGCCTTTAATCATTCAACTTTGCCATGTACTTCATGTCCTGAGAGCAGATGGAAAGCTGTTAAAAATAATAGGCCTTTCTAACTCATTCTGGCCATTCAAGATGTTGAAGCGAGGACGTGATGGGTCCTCTGGAGCAAAATTATGGATTTCCCTGGGTCTTCTAGTAGGAGCTGTGATCAACTGTGCTGACAATACAGGAGCCACAAATTTGTGTATCATCTCTGTGAAGGGAATCAAGGAATGACTGAACAGACTTCCTGCTGCTGGTGTAGGAGACATGGTGATGGCCACAGTTAAGAAAGGCAAACCAGAACTAAGAAAAAAGGTCCATCTAGCTGTGGTAATTTGACAATAAAAGTCATATCAAGAAAAGATGGAGTGTTTCTTTATTTTGAAGACAATGCAGGGGTCATGGTAAGCAATAAACGTGAGATGAAAGGTTCTGCTAGCACAGGTCCAGTTGCAAAGGAATGTGCAGACTTGTGGCCCATAATTGCATCCAGTGCAGGCAACATTGCATGCCAGTGTATTTGTCAAATATATCCATTAAGAAGTCAAAAAAAAAAAAATAATAATAATAGGCAGGCAATGGTGGCACACACCTTTAACCCCAATATTGGGGAGGCAGAGATAGGTGGATCTCTGTGAGTTCGAGACCAGCCTGGTCTACAGAGCAAGTTCTATAATAATAAAATAGCTTTTAGAAACTTTTGTTCATATTCACACATACCCAACTCCTCTCCGTAATTCCTCCCAATATATCCCTTTCCAACTTGTAAGACCTTATTTTTTTTGTTTTGTTTTGTTTTTCGAGACAGGTTTTTCTGTGTAGCCCTTGAACTCACTCTGTAGAACAGGTTGGCCTCAAACTCACAGAGATTTGTCTGCTTCTACCTCCCCAGTATTAGGATTAACGGCATGTGCCACCACCACCCGGCAAGATCTTTTTGTTTGTTTGTTTGTTGTTGTTGTTGTTGTGTTTTTTTTTTTTTGGTTTTTGGAGACAGGGTTTCTCTGTGTGGCTTTGCGCCTTTCCTGGAGCTCACTTGGTAGCCCAGGCTGGCCTCGAACTCACAGAGATCCGCCTG